TCTCTTCTTCTTAATTTTAAGTGCTCATTACCAAAACCAGCAGCCTCTACTTGTGATAGCCCAAGATGCTTGAAGTACAACAGTCATTTATATATTATACCAGCTAGGTGTGACTCATATATTAGCCCTCCTATGTTCATCATTCTATCTGTGTGCACAAAGTTGTAATTTAGGTCAGAAATTCTCAGATTGTAAAGGGGGTTTCACCTGTATTGATTACTATGGAAAGTTTTCACTTTTGTAAAATACACATAATAGTACTTCTGCAACTGCTGAACAAACCGTTTTGTAATTTATTGATATTTAGAAAAAAAATATTTAGATTTCTTTATTATACAGAGAGTATCATACTTTTGTATTGCTCTCAATGTTTCAGTGCATACATTTAAGGTGTATGCAAACCCTAACAATGAACTTATCTTATCTGTTCCCTTTTGTTCTGCTAAATATACTATTGAAAGCATTTAGTTATTTCTGTTAGATAAGTGCAAAAAAAAATACCTGTCAAAAATTCAGAGCAGTCGTGTCTCTCTGTAATATCTCAAGGAGACTAATCAGTTCTCATCTTGGACTACAAAAACTTTCTAAATTGTGATAAATTAGGATAAAAGGAGGGATACTGTAGCTTAGCAAAAGATAAATGGGCAGGGCTGACATGGGAAATGTGTTTATATTGAAGAGATGTAGTGCATATGTGTTTTATTAATTTTACCCTGGCATACAGTTTTAAGCTATTCATACATATTAAGGTATATTGATGGTTTACAAGTTTCAGACTTTGTCTAACATTAAAGGTTGAATATGATTTAGGGACTGTATGACATTAAAATAGAAGTGAGATTTTATTGTAGATATTTTATCATTTCAATGGTACATAGTTAGACAAATGTCCACAATTAGATTTTAAAAAAAGAGCACAGGGTTCAGGGGATTGTGCTTTGCCCTGCAAGTTGCTGTGGGTGTGATTCTTTGTCAGACTATCTGTAGTGTCTGTATGTACAAGGTGCCTCATAAGGAGCTCAGAGACGCCCAATCTCTATAGTCCCTGTCCAATACTAAGAGTCTGGGGCCCTTAACAGTCTAGGCTTAGGCCCCTTACAGTCTGTATCTACCACTGACAGGTTGAGGATCTTCACAGTCCTTATCTACCACTGTCAGTCTGGGGCCCCCTACAGTTTGTGTCTACCACTAATAGACTGTGACACCCTACAGTCTGTATCTACCACTGACAGACTGGTGCTCTCGACAGTCTGTATTTACCTCTGACAGACTGAGGCCCTCTACAGTCTTTATCTACCACTGATAGACTGGGGCTCTCTTCTGTCCTTGTCCACCACTAAGAGCCTGGGCCATTTATAATGTGTGTCTTACGCTGATAGCATGATGTCATCTACAGTCTGTGTCTACCACTGAGATGCTGAAGACCTCTGCAGTCTGCATCTAACACTGACAGCCTGATTCATAGTCACCGTCTACCACTGACAGTTCAGAGCCCTCTACAGTCTGTGTTTAACACACTGTAAGCCTATGGGTCGTCTTCATTCTTCATCTAACACTAAATGTCTGGGGCCCTCTACAGCCTGTGTTTACCACTGAGAGCATGGGGCTCTCTACAGTCTGTGTCTAACACTGACTGCCCGAGTCCCATCTGAGTGGTTTGGGGCATTTAAAGTCTGTTTCTAACACTAAGAGCCTGGGGCCATCTACAGTATGTGTCTACCACTAAAAGCCTGGGGCCCTTTACATTCTGTGTCCACCACTGAGATCCTGGGGTCTGCTACAGTCTGTGTTTACCACTGAGAACCTGGGGTCAACTACAGTCTTTGTCTAGCATTGACAGGTTTCTCATGATAAGGCTGAACTCAAATGGCTCAGTAAATTCAATGACATTTGCATTTGCTGGAGAGCAATAACAAGTGCCTCAGAGATCCTGTTGAGCACATTATTGCACATGGAAGTTTTTCCAACACATGCAGAGAAGAAGAATGAGTGAAAAGAAAATTGGTACTGAGTATAGGGCCAAGCAGATATTTCCTCACCTGTCATTCTCAAGAGATATCTGTCTGTCTGTGACCATCCTAAAGTGTATTTGTTCCTTTTGTTGTTAGTCCAACATACTAAAGCAGAATATGTCTACTAAACACCCATCTACTCTCTTCTCACTGAAAAGAGGAAAGTATTAGACAGGCCACGCGTTAGAACAAATTAGAATATCTCTCTGGAAAAAGTGCTTTTCCCATTGTAGCACCCTTAGGATAATCATGAATGTACTAGTCCTAGCCATAGCATTATTAGAGGCCATTAGGTTGACAATGTTAAAGGCCAGCCAATAGCAGGATAAAACAGCCAATCAAAACAACCAATTAGATTAAAGGTGAATTCTAGAGTTAGAGTTACTGCACCTTTTACATCCCTTTTCGCGACTGCATATTCACATTAGAAATTCTGCCCTTTGAACTGTATATGTATAGAAAAAGTTGGAGCCTTCAAATGACTTTTTTTCTTCCCAGTTCATTGGATCTCATGAACTGGGAAGAAGTAATAAAACTACTGACTGCAACAATTATCAAAAATATGTTATGTTCTATAAAAACCTGCACTGGGAAAAAGACAGCCGGAATCTGATTGGTTGCTCTGGCCCGCACCTCCTCTATCTGTTGCCCTGTTTTTATTTCCTTGGGTATAATTTATAAAAATCAGATCATCTGGGTCACTGAATTAGAAAATCCTTCTTACCAGAAAACAGACATGTGTAGATTATTGATATATTATTCATGAGAAACTAAATTAAATGCAGACCCACTAAGGCAAACATCTAGTATTACTAATTATCTTCATACATTGTAATATTACTCTGGGGTAGAACTCCTACTGCTTCTTATTTTGAAGCAAATTATCAGAATTTCATTGCTAGATGGATGAGATTTATTGCGGTTTTAACAGAGTTCTTTGGAAAGCAGCAATACAGCACATACTTTATTGTTTTCATGCACTTTATACTTAAAAAAAAAGAAAGAAAACCCTATAACTAGTATAAATCATAGACTCCAAATGCAGGGTCTTAAAAACAGTGTCTCTTTTTTAGCAAACAAAATAAATCCACTGCTTCTTTTGTAGGACGAGTCGATAACAATTCTATTTAATGTTAGTTTTAGATCATCACTGGGAGTCTGTATGCTACTAGACGTACAATTTGACTTTCATCTAATCTGAGTAGTTTAACAGCATGGTTCTACTTTTTTCATTAATTTTATGTAATCCTTTATACTTTTATAAAATAGCGCTGTCAGTAAGCACACAAATATGCAGTTTTATAAATTAAGTCTTTCCAAATATCCTCATTGCATATAAGTATATATGCATATTTGTACTATTAAATATACTATTAAATATAAATATAAAAAAATAACTTGATCAACCAGGTATTTGAACTTTCTGGCTAATGTCAGGAACTCAGTGTAGATTTAGAGGGTCCTCATGTTCCATCACCTCTTGAATTGTACCAGGAACAGGAGCTGCAATTTCAGATTTCACCATTAGTACCACCTGCAGTTGAAATATTATATATCAACCTAATAGCCAGATAGAAAATCACTATTAATATTATAAAGTAAACCTGTTAGATCCATAAATGTATTAACAAGCCACTGCAGTCTAATGCAGGCACCTAACAATGCCTGTACATACTTTTATTTGATTCCTCCAGCACTAAATCATAAGCTACTGTAAGATACCAGTTTTGACATTTCCAAATTGCACAGACAGCTGGGTTGCCCTATACCACTTTATTCTTTTGCCCCATCACAATGATGTGCATGCCTTACTGGCCAATAGGAATGTGCAGGAAGCAGGAAAGTGAGTTATCTTCCAACCCTTTTAGAACATGTTAAAATTCCCATCGTAAAACACATGATTCAGGACACCCCCAGCATTGGAGGGGCTGTGTAAAGGTAGCCTATAGGTGCCTGCATTGTGCAGATGTATTGTTTCCAGTGCCTGTATTGTACTTATTGCTTACTTTAAGGAAAGCAAATAATAGAAAAAACAAATGCAGGATGAAAGTCCAACTGTGTTTATGTTTCAGTGTCTATGCAAGCTTGACATGAGAATTTAGAAGCATCTAAAAAAATCATATACATTTATACTAAAGTGGCCCTGTATGGATTTAATAAAATCACAGCAGCTTAAACATGTACCTTGAAACTGAAATTTAGTTTAACACAGTCTGCTCTGTGCAGCCTCACACATCAACAACATAAATAAAGACTATTACACCATTGCATGTCTTACAAAGAGCCCGTCTTTTACAGTGTATGTATAGCCAAATTATTTTTTTCTTAGTTTTGTGGAAGTTTTAGACCCCCTGTCAAATAGGTATTGATGCGGCAGGCAGGAAAAAAAGGTACCCCAAGATTCAGCGATAGCAAAGGCACCCAGAAACAAGACCAAGGCCATCTGGGTTGTTTTTCAATTAGTGGGTATTTACTGACTGAAAAGTCAACATAAAAACCACTGCATACATACCAGGAGACTCACATCTCAGCAAGTGTCTCTCCATACCCTCCTAAGGAAGTGGTCATCTAGAGCCACTAAACACGTTGAGGTGGTGTTTTTTTTTGTCCTGCAAAGTGCAAATTCCCTTGCAAAGTGAACAGCCGTTTTGCCTTTAGTAAATCAAGCCCTATAAGTAAATTACTGACTTTTGACCTTTTATGATAGAGGAGACATATGACTGCACGGTGGGGTCAAGTCTAATCATTGCATCTCATTGCATATATGTGGAAGTACTGCCATGTTTGCTTTTAGGGTGTACACTGAGCAGTGTGGTTATCGCTGGTGTTAAGGGAATGTGATGTAAATTGTATGAGGTACAATAGCATAGCGTGTCAGGCCTGAATATGTTTAGTTAAGTAACATAAAATATTTTCATTAGGGTGGGGCAGTCCTATGCAATGGTAGATGCAAGCCCATTTACAGATATTTTTTTTAATCTTTATTAGGTGGCAAGAAGGAAAATTTCAAAGAGACCACCAATATTGGAAGTATTCCATTAGATCTACTGGAATCTTTACCACTAAAGGAAAGAATGGCCATGTATCAAGAAGCTGCTACCAGCAAGAACCAAACATCCAACATGAATGTAAGTAAAAAATGTATGTGTGTGTATAGTAACTTATTATAATATTACTGTTATTATTTGTTTTATAACAGAATTAAATAATAATATAACTATATTAAGCAAGTACAAAAGCAAAATCAAGAACCCAAATAAATGATGGGTCATAAAAACATAGAAGAGTGAAAGCAGAAAAAGTCCAAGTGGTCCATTGAGCTGGGTCCTTTTTTGACATTTATGTTTTTGTTTTTTTTTAACCTTATGTGTTGCAAGAAGGTACAGTAATATAAGTAAGCAAAATAAAAAGCAGCAAAGAACATTGGGCAATGCTGTATAACAGAACTTAAAACATTATAACATTTGTGGGCAAAGGTAACATGTTTAATGACTTAGAATTGAAGTATAGGGGCTTATCCACTATGAAGCCGAAGGATACAGCCGTAGTTTCGGCTGATCCTTTGGCTCTCTTTGGCTGCTGGAGTCATTGTGTTCAGTTGAACCAAAGGGCTGCTGTACGGGCTATTCACTATAGCCCATACAGCAGCCGAAGGCAGCCGAGCGGCTCAACTTAGCCGAAGGCATAAGTGACAGCCGAAGTGTAGGGATATTTTTCTTTGCTTTCTATTGTTCTGGTTGACACCCATCAAAGACACAAAAAGTGAGCAAAAGTTTCCCAACAAAGACACACATAATAAAAGCCTAAAAGTAGTTCTAACTGTTCCCACTATCCAAAATAGAAAAAGAGTTTTGGTTGCAGGTGGACTTTAAACAGTGGCAGTGACAATGGCAGTGTGGATGGGTCCTTGTCCAGTGAATCTAATAAAAAGCCTTCAAAACTGCTTTTTCTGCCGTTTATGGTTTAGAGCTCCAATGCTGCCCATACACATGGAAATTTTAAGTCCTTTCAAATACTTTTCATTCACTCAGAATCACAAATATGATCACAAGTAATTGCCAGAAACTAAGCAGTTGTTTGATTGACCACCACAATTTAATCAATTGTGAAGTCGAAAACTGGGCAATAAATTGACAGCTTCAGCACAGTTTATTAAAAGGCTGAACTGAAATTGGGAACAGAAAATACACAAGGTCTTATGAAGCAGTTGAATTTTTCTCAAAGGATCAATCAAGGCAATTTCGATCCCATCTGCTTGAAAACTATCAAAACCAGAATTTGATGTCTTCAACTGCTTTGTAAATGCAACAAAAAAAGTTGAATGAAAAGCTGAATTGCTCTATTAAATTTCCACATGTAGGGTTAACTTAGCCCAGATTGAAAATTGGGGCAAAGTTTAAAACTGTTCCTTGTTTAAAGTGTTACAAGATATATCACTGTGTTTTGAGATTTGTTTTTTATACAAGGATAGCTAGCCACCTGTAGGCTTTAATTTCCATTGTAAGAGGAAAATATTTTCCAGAAGAAGTGGGCAGTTGTTTCAGGCGCTTCGTTAGTGCTGTCCATATATCTAGGTAGAAGGATATTTTACTTTCCACAAGGCGTGTGGCTGAAGCATCAATAGGATCAAACATGCCTGCTTCAGCTGTTCTCCTTTTCCAATGCATATTTTTTTTTCTTTCACTGCAGGGATTTTATTATTAGCAGCGAATAGTACTGTGTTTTTATCCTAAAGTGATAAATTCAGTGTATTCAGTTTGTTGTAAGTATCGGCAAGGCATGCAGTGCCTTTTAAATTCGAGCCACTAGACATAAAACCTCTAAAGCTCTGCAGCATTTGTCCCCGACTCAGCCAATCAACTAAGCAATCAGTAAGCAATAATAGTCACTGGGGATGATTTACTATAGGTGTGGAAGCTCTCAGTTTAGATTAGCTCCCTTCTGGTTTTTAATTTTTGTTAAACATTTACAAGATTTGGAACACTGTGCTTAGTTGAATGAAATTAAATGAAATCTTAAAAATCTATTCAAGCACCTTAACTATTAACAAAATGTATCTTATTTATGTATCACTCGGCTGTGGATCCTCAAATCATCTCTGAATTGGTGCTGACCCTGTCCTTCCTTTTGGAGGGTGGCTTCTTTTGTTACCCATGGTACCTGTGTGTGTTGTAAAGTAGTCACCGATCCAAGCTCGCTCCCCTGATGGACTATAATCCGACATTTAGTTTACTAATTTGTATTTAAATTAAAGTTGATCACAGGAGCAAGCTTGGAGCTGTGGTTGAGATATTCATTCATTGATTCATTTTTCCGCCTTGTGTTTCTAAACAACTGTCCTTTAATGGATTCATAAACCATTGCTATAGAAGTCAATGAGCCTTGAGAGAATCTCACCAAAAAAAAAAACTCCTGTTGCTGAGGTTCCCTGAAATGTGACTCATCTCAGTGCAAGCAGGAGATTTCTTAGGGGGTATTTTGTATTCAGATGTATTTTCTGTTGGCTTACAGCTTGCTGTCATAGCTTGGCACAGTGTGTTCCAACCAATCGGGTAAGGTTGGAACTGGCTATATTTACTACACTGGTATTCTCTGTATCTCTGAACATCTGACTTGTGAAGGTAAAATATATTTTGACACAGAGGGGTCTATTCACGAAGCTGCCGAAGGATCTAGCCGTAGCTTCGGCCGATCCTTTGGCTAGCTTTGGCCCCAGGACCCCTTCGGTTCAGTAGAACCGAAGGGGTGCTGTACGGGCTATTCACAATAGCCCATACAGCTCCCGAACCTGGCCGAGCGGCTTATGTTGCAGACATACAGTAACAAAAACTGATGAACAATAAAGAGCTTACAACAACCTCTATACACAGATACTGTCATGTGGGATATTAAAAAGAATAACAATGGTCACTTTAATGCACAGAACTAAATA